AGTGAGGAAAAAAAACCTTTTCTGTGGAAAATGGTTAAAGTACTTCCTGGAAATGGCAATCAGAAACAACATGGGAAGGGGCAGAAGCGAGTTGTATTCATCTGTTGAAAACCAGAAAGAAATGGCATTTGTAGAGAATGAAACTGATTGAGCTTTTCCATTCTGTTCTACTGACACCTCTCCTGCAGTGTGACTCAGATGATTAAGGCTATGTGCTCAGTCTGTTTTGACAGAACTTAGGTTATCCAGAATCACATGTATTATGTGTGTATGGGCGAGTGAGAATGAGACGGGGAGGAAAGGAAACTGTGGGCATGTATGCACGGTACTTTATCTTCCCATTGGTTTTGCAGTCTTAGCAAAAAGAATCTTAGAACCATGGAATCATGGAGTGGCCTGCTCAGGAGGTGACCTTAAAGGTCCTCTTGTCAAAATTAGTTTGTGCAATTAGTTGCACAGCCAGTTAGAAGTCTGCTAGTGTATTGGCCAGGGCTGTGGTCTGCCAATGCACTGTTCTACCCAGCCATTCTGTCCACGCTGGGAGCCAGCAGCTCCTGGTCCCTCTCTAGGTGATTAATGCAACAGTATTAACTGAGAACTCTGTCTTGTTGCCTTTCAAGACCAGAAAGAATAACTCAGACACTGTCTAACATCATGTGTGATATGAGATACAGAATATCTGAAAAAAAGACAATACTGGGACTGCCAGTCTCCACACAGACAAAAATAAGTGTTCTTCCTTTTGTCCTGAGAGAAAAAGCACACACTGTGCCCTTCCAGTTTCTTGAAATTCTCCCCACACACACTTGATTTCTTCCTATTAACTCTGAATCCTTTTATTATTTCTAATGATTTGACAAGTAGATGCAGTTTAATGTCTAGTTTGTTTGTGATGCTTTAATTCTTTGAATTTATGAAGCTGGATATTTGTGTTGGGTTATTGGTCACTGAAGTAATAAAATATTTTTCCTGCTTGAAACTTGTACAGTAGAAATAAAATGAATGCCAAATAAAAAAATATTCTGCCTAACTGATAATAAGTTTTTATCACAATATTGTTGACAATTTAAAACTACCAAAATGATTTTGATGATGATCGCTCTAGATAGGCACTCAGACCATAGGTATATACCTATAGAATATAGGTATATAAAGCCAGCACTTTGTGCACTTTTTCAAAGGTATAATCTTTTTTTTTTTCCTGCAGGTACAAAGTAAGGTAAATTAAATTTATTTAGGTGAGAAAAATTGCCACTAAATCCTTCTGAGATTTTATATCTATGCTTCTGTACATGAAAGATGACTTTATTCTTATGGGATTCTACCATCTTGCCATCACAGTCTCTCATCTAATAGCCAGGACTGTATCTCTTTCAAATGCAGAGTGTCTAAATTATGTTGATGGTAAAGTGAGGAGATATTTACATATATTCAGGTATTTAATCTATGTGTTGTCTATGTGGTTGTCATGATGCATTAATAATTCAGTACATCTTAGTTCTTTCCCTTGTTAAAAAAAGAGTTAAAACAAAAACAACAGAAAAACATGAAGGTTTTTTCTGTTCTTTGAGTTAGTTTGCCAGATTTCTGTTAGGAACTATATTTCAAAGGTTTCAATCTTATTGTATCTTATTTATAAACTCATTATATCTTATTTATAGACACATTTATGGTGTTTATAAATCTTTGAGTTTAGCTATGGATGTTCTTTAAGAAGGAAAGAACTCTCATATTAAAGCGTAGTTTGTAAAGTGAACACCAAGATCAATATACAGGTCAATGTGCATTTAATTGATAGTTTCTGACCTTGTTACATAATGCATGTTTTAAATCTCTGAAAATCAGCATTTTGATCAATTCTCCCATTTCTGTACTCTGTCCTGCGTAATACATATTTAAGCATGAAAGTAAGACCTTTGGTTCCTAGAAAGTCCAGGAAGGGTAGGAGAGATTATTTGGGATGCTTGTTAGGAAAGCAGATGTCTGTAGAGGTTAGAGCAGAGAGCAGAGAGGGACCACTTTCTGGTCTACCAGCTAACCCAGCTAACCCAGCACAGCTCAACTGCAAACACCTACATAGTTTTCCTCTTTCTTTGGAAAAACACAAAACTGCTTAATAGATGCAGTTCCTGGCATACACCTTTTTCCAGACAATGGCTGAGCACTCTCTGGAAATGTAAGAATTAACGCAGGTCAAAGCTGTGATGGCAGTGGAATGACAGATATCATGAATGCGCCTTGTCTAGGAGTGGATGTAGCCTTACTGGGTAAAACAGAGCAAAATGGAACCAGAAAATTAAAAATATCAATATAGATTATAGACATGCTTTAAATCAGCTGCAGGGTAACGAAAATAAGGAAGGATACAGAGTGGGAGGTATTAATCTAAAAACCAGATCTCGGGAACAGGTATACTCATGCACTCTTTAGAAATTTGGACAATTCAAAAGTAATTTTGAGACAAAGCTGAGGACTTGTGAATCAGAGCAGGAAGATGATGTGTATAAACGGAGATTGGATACACAAAAATCTTCATAGAAGCCCACGATTGCATTATTTACTTCTGCTCCTGAATAAACATTTTCTGTCTTGCTTCAGTAGACACATGGTTTTGCTCATTTTCTTGTTACCATGTATGGTGGACTGTTCAATATACTTCCTAAAAACTGACTTACACTTTCAAATATGAGTCATAAACCAATTTGCTTCTATTAGATCTATTTCATGAAGAGACCATGTCATACTAAACGGGCCTAAGATCAGGAAAGAACCTATTTGAATGTATAACTGTTGCCAGACCCAGCATCCCTGTCTCCAAACAATTGAGTATGATTACTAATTGAAAATAGAAAAACTATTGTTTTATTTCACCTAACCTTGAATCCTGAGCGCAGTTCTGGGTACAACATAAGATATAAAGTTATTAGATAGCTTCCAAAGGAGGGCAACAAAGATGGTGAAGGGCCTTGAGGAGAAGCCATATGAGGAGCAGCTGAGGTCGCTTGGTCTGTTCAGCCTGGAGGAGACTGAGAGGAGACCTCACTGCAGTCACAGCTTCCTTGTGAGGGGAAGAGGAGGGGTAGGCACTGATCTCTTCTCTGTGGTGACCTGTGACAGGAGCCATGGGAATGGCCTGAAGCTGTGTCAGAAGAGGTTTAGGTAGGGAAAGGTTCATCACCCAGAGGATTGTTGAGAACTGGAACAGGGTCCCCAGGGTCACAACACCAGCCTGACAGAGTTCAGGAAGTGTGTGGACAATGCACATGGTGTGACTTTTGGGGATGGTGCTGAGCAGGAGTTGAACTCAAGATTTGAACTCAATGATCTTTGAATTTTCCAACTCTGTATATTCTGTGATTTTATGATTTATTGTTGCAAATGTCATCAAAGCAACTGAAGCATCAGAAATGTGGTGGCTGATGTAATTGACAGTGGGGAAACCACTTTCTGATTAAAAGCTTGTTTAAGAATGAAAGGTACAGACATCTCCTGGTTTTCCTTCTTATTATTCATTTACTGTGGATAAGAAACGTTAGTAAGCAATTAAAGTTGAATTTTTAATGAAAAAAACATGTTCTACAGAATGCAGTAGGCAAAAACTGCTATAAAGAGATAATCACAAACCATATATTAGCAATAAAGGCTTCATTTTATCACCTAGCAACTCAATACATACCTGCCACTGTTGCAAACAATCTAAAATAAAAGTTTGGTGATTCTGGGGCTACTACATTGATATTAATTATACAATTTAGGCTGCTATTGACATTCATACAATTATAACCAGTGAGATGAAACATACTGAGATCAAACTAAACTCTCATCTAGACTGATCATTTCAGGTGTCAGTTTTTTAGCTTTCTTGGCTTAAAAACTTCATCTATAGTTTTCTATTACATCCTTCCTGGAAAGAATGGAAATGATGAGCAGACTTTATTGGTTTGAAGTCTATGTTTAATGAAAGGTAGTTATTAGGATTTTCAGATAATTAAAAAATACAAAAAAGGATTTTTTTTTTGTTTTGGAGCAACACAGATAGCAAGTATCTAGACAGTAAATAATGTCTAGATAAACAGTTAAGTGGAAAATAAAATGGGAAACAAGGAAATCTCTTTGTAATCAGTCACACAGGTTTTTAATCAACTTTGTAGCCTGGCGTCCAACCTAATTTTACACAAAACTTCTTTGTGTCCAAAAGAGTTTAATACTAATTACAAACATCATTGTTCGGAAGACAAAAGGTAGCAAAAATTAAAATCAGCATGTGCATTTTACTTGTCTGTTTAAATTATGACAATAATTGCAATAATCACAACTCCTGCAGCCACGGCCATGCAGTATCCAATGAGCGCATCTTTAAAGTGTTCCTTTTAGCACCCAAATGTAGACGTAGGTTTTCACTGCAGCAGACTTATCCCCTAGTCTACAGCTGTTGGTGTTCAGATTCCCTAATGCATGTTTTAATGCTGTGGACTGCATAAGGTTTTATTTGAAGGGAAGCAGCACCATCTATTGCAACCTGATAGCTTAGCTCTAGATGATATAAAGAAAGACTTGGCCTGAGCCCAGCCTTCAACTCTTTCTTGCAGGCACTTTTATAAATTTGTCCTTGTCCAGCTTCAAATGAGATTAGGATCTCGCTTGGTAAGATATGGTGGTGCAGGGACAGGGCTGTGTGTTCCATGCAGGGCTGTGTTCCATGCATACACATGTCTAATAAAAAGTCACAGCTAAGAGACACAACTGTTTACAAACTAAGATAATATAATTGCATAAGCCTATTCCTGAATAACTGTTGCTTTTAAATTACTTTGCTGGAGTTTTCATTTCTGAAGTGGGAGGACAGTCAAAAGTTATGAGCATATTTTACCCAGGTGATATTCTCTCAAAATTTTCTTCCAAAAGCAGCATTAATGTAGGTGTGCAGTACAGTATGTTCTTCTAATAATGACAGTGCTATTGTCATCCATCTATATTTCTGGTTCTTCTCTTTTTTCCAGACTGTCTACAAAGCCTGGCTCTGTTCCCAGTATTTTGAAGTCACACAGTTTCACTGCAGCAACAGAATTCCTTGCAAGCAATACTGTTTGGAGGTTCAAACGAGGTGTCCCTTTATATTACCAGACAATGATGATGTCATCTATGGAGGACTATCAAGTTTCATCTGTACAGGTATAGTACAGAAAAACCAATTTCACTTGTTTTCTTAAGTCTAAATGTCATGGATTTAACTCTGAGAGCCTGAAGGTATTCCACATCAGAAAGATTTCTTGGAGGTGCTAGGATTTGAGTTCAGATCTAGTAATGCACAATTATGATACAGCCTGCCAGTCATCAGCTTTACAAAACAAAATTTCTAGAAAAAATTTATTCTGGTTATTTTTTACACTTAATAATCTGGTGGAGGATTTATTTTACTTCATGTCATGCGATACTCAGAGCTTGCCTGTCATGCAATATTCAGAAAAAAAAAGAGAAAAGGTGGGTCCAGTTTTTAGCATACTCACCTTTGTTTGCCTGTATTCTAATGCCAGGTGAATCAAGAATCTGAAGCACAGCATTCAAAATTGTGCAGCAGCTGTCAGAAAATGTTTAAGGAAACATCTTTCACTAATGAAGAAATTTAAGAATCAGGTGTTCACCTATGAAGAACTTTGTTTGTTTGATTTTTTTTGTTTCTTATTGAGTCTGGTTACATTTTACTAATAATTTTTAATTGTAAAAGATATTGTTAATGTATATCTCAGGTACCACAGATATTTTTTTCAGGAATGGATGGGAGTCATCCACACAAAATTTCAGCTTATACCAATATTATCTTCATACTTATGGTGCCTAGACTATCATCTGAGAATCTTGAAAATATTCAGGCAACTTATTCCCAGTAAATTCATAAAAGAGTTTCAACACTTAGATCATTTGACACCCTCATCCAAATATCAGAAATTGAACTGTCTTCACCTCTAAATTAGGGCTCCACTGGAAATCTTGATAGTAAATAAGTTGTCTAAGGTAAGCTACTTAAAAGCGAAGTCAATTATAAAAATCCATAAAAGTTGTATACCATCTTAGATGCATGCATAAGGATCATGCCAACTCCACCTTATAGGCTGTGCTTAGATTTAAGATGATTCTGGTAGCAAGGGATTTACTGGATTTTTTTTCTTGGAAATTAAACCTATTGCACACAATCAAGCAATATCTATCCATATGCAAAAGAAAATGTAACAAAAAGTAACTGAGTTACAATTTTGAATCATCAATAAGGTGCTTAGCACTTCAATGCATATTTTAAAAATTAATAGCCTTCCAATATGTATATGCAGTAAGCAAATGAACATTGTTTTCCAGTTTAAGGTAGTATAGTAGAAGTGAGAGACTTAGGAAAATTTTATTTCCCACAAGTACACAATCTATATGTATATTCACGTATGTGCATGTGTACACACACACTTACACAATGGCAAGAAACCAAACCAACAGCAAACAAAATCATCTTGGCATGTATTTCAGAAATCTGTTAGGAAATACATATCCATCTCTTCATTTTCCTCATATACTCACAATCCAAATTCCTTCCTAAAATAGATGATTTTGAAAAGATTGCTGACATCTCTGAGTCTGGGATGAAAAAGCAGCTTTAGGTGAGGATTAAACTCATTTTGTTGCAGGTATTATTAATGTGGGTATCTACACATGAACTCTGTGACTAAGCTCTCCCTAGAGTCATTGGTGTAGTCAGTAGAGCTGAGAGCATTTAACTCACCCTGAGCAGGTGAGTTAGGTGCACCCTGCACCTGAGAGAGGACTTGCACACATTGCTGGCTGCACTCTATTTGCTGTAGCTGCTGTTAGACCAGGGTCTTATTGCAGACACTTAAAATCAGGGTGACCTAAATCTCATTTCAGCTGCCCACTAACAAATATTTGGTTGAACTTTTTGTCCCGTCAAGCCCAAACCTAGCAGCAGCAGAGCTTGTATTCACAGGCCCACGGGAGTCAGTATGCTGACCCTAGAAGGTTGTGTGCAAGGGAAGATGTTGAGGACAGGTGCTGATAAGGCAGCAATTCAAACAGCAATTCTGTCTGGAATACAGACACATTTTCACTCTTATTAAGCAGCAGCTCACTGTAAGACTGCTTCCTGCCACTAAACAATGAGAAATTAGACTTTAATCTGCTGCAGGAATAAAGAATTATACCTCTCTGCAGCTTAATGAAAACAGATTTATTTCATGCAAAGTACAGTGAGCTCAACAGTAGACAAAACACTCTACCTCAGCATAGCTTGTGATAGATGACTTGAAATCCTTTTGAAGAAAAAACAGCTGAAAGAAGGTCACCCATGTCTTGAGGGACACTCCTATTGCACTTCTTGTGTTTCTGTCTGGTATACACCTTTTGAGATTTCTAGTTATTGATCTCTGTCCTCATTAGAAAAACATAAAAGAGTAAGGTAAAAAGGCATTCTTATTTACTACTTAGATGTTAAGTAACAAGAAAAGGTATACAAGGGATTGCTGATTTTATTTGGTGTTGACCACAGCCCAGAGCTCAGGATGAACACAAAAACATTACCTGTAATTTTCTAATTGCAGACAGGTAGAGGATGGTGCAGCTCGATATCCCTTGCTGGGAGATGCCCTGGCACTAGGAGCTGCCACCTCCTCCTTCAATCCTGTCCTACCACAGCAGTAAGTCAGAGCACAGAGATCTGCTGGAGATGAGTGCATGGCAGTACTGGTGGACAACAGGGAACCCACAATTTTTATTTTTTTTTCCTTTCAGGCCAGGATTTTTGTGGTGCTGGGGTCTGAAAAAAAACCTGTGGAGGCTGTAAAAAGGATATAATAACAAGGGCTTTACCCTTCCTTGGAAGGTCCTCATGATGAGGAAACAGCATAGAACTGGCTATTTTTCCTCAATATATACTGCAGTCATTGTTATATTTTCAATTAAATTAAAAATAAAGTAAATTTTGATTTATGGTATGGATTAATAACAAGTTATTGGAAATTCCTGAAAACTTCCTATAGTAAGTAACAAGTATTCCAGCCTGAGAATGTCTAACTTGATCACCTCCAAATAAAGCCTGTAACAGGAAAGGGAGAAGGCATGCTACCCTCACTTTGTATGACTAGAACTCTTTCATAGAAATGCATATGAGGGTGTGGAACAACTGCAGTGCAAAAGAAAGTACTTGAGAGATTAATCAAAACAATCAGAATCACAGTGTGGTTCTGATTATGGAAATATTCAGTTAGGTAGAAAGAATTTAGTGTTCCCTTCTTGCCCGCTTTCTTCCAGGACATAGAAGGAAAAAAGTTAATCCTTGCATTAGGTGCTGTGCTGAAAGCTGCTGGCTTTCAGATCCATTTTAAAACTGAGTGATTGCTTTCAGTTTAGACCTCCATAGTTCATATCCATGTGACTAAAGTTTCCAGTGGTTTCACTGAATGTTTCTTTTTACAGCTCAGCTGTCTAGAACTGCCCATGCAAACTAGAATCTCATTTGAGGGAGATAACAATAGTTTTCAGGTGTACATACACACACATGGAAAATTACAGTGAATAGTCCCAGGTAAAGTTCCAGGTCAAGGTTTTTAACTGAAACTTCTAAGAAAACAGTGTTCATATCAGCAGGATTGTTTTCTATTGTAAATGTACTCATCTCTTCTTTAACTAAATGGGCTACAGCACCATACTACCCTATGCCAACCATTAATGCACATTTGGTCTACAAAATTAGACTAGAGCTAGAGTGAGAAAAATCCCTTCAGAAGCATTTACGGTTGACATGAGATAGATACTCAGTACCAGCTGCTTCATTGTACAGATCTTCTCTTGTTCCCAATATTACTTGTTAATACAGCCTGCTCTGACTGTTTGGAGAAACTGCTGTCCACGTGCCAAGTCTGGAACAGTTTAGAGTGCAGACTTAGGGCTAATTGTGTCCTAAAGGCTAATTGTGTCCTAAGGGCTTTCTTTGAAATGACCATGACTTATGGTCCCTTTTTGTCCTGTGGCATAACAGGGCCATCACCCAGCATCAAGTCTCAGGCCAGAAATCCTAGCCACATATTCACTCTATCTGTACAATAGATGTCATGGCATTTAATGGAGAAGGAGAGTTCCTCTTTTAAGGAAAGAGAATGCAGTGAGCAGCAATAAGGCAGAGATATGCCGCATTAACTTCTTCCAAAATTAGCATGGCACTCTTTGGTACTTCCTAAGAGCAGTACCATCAGAACAAGTCTTCTGCCATCAAGAGGAGAATCAAATTTGTCTATTCTCCTGTGTTGAACAGACTTCTGATTCTTTTCAGAAAGTGTTGGACAGACTTCTGATACTTACTCCTACAGAAGGAGAGAGTAAAGGGAGTGAAGAAGTAAGTAGACAGGTGATTCAGGTGCTTTAAATCACTAATATCTTTCAGTTCATATTAATTTAGACTCCTAATTTTATGTGTTCTGATTAACCTGTCAGTTGTTTGGAACACAGTGTGAATCAATTTTTGGCAAATAACAGTAACATATGTTTATGTGATCCATGCAAAGTAACACTTCCATGGAAACTCCACCTCCTTTAGAGTAAAGAATTCACTGGAAATAACAGTCAGTCATGCTTCATAGCACACAATGATGTTTCTAAAGACATAGTGAGAATTATTACAGAGAATTCTCATCAATCTGTAGAAGATGTTTGATGACTAGCAAAGCTCAGCAAAAGTATTAGGAGAAATTCTGCAAATTGCATCTTCCTCTCAAGGGGCAAATTTGTGACTGGGTTTCACCAACAGGTTTGACTATAATGTATCTCTTTCAAAACAGATGCCCTGATTTCAGTGAAATTTGAAAAGCAATTTCCTTGAGAAAATCTGATATATAGAAAGGAATACAATCTGTCTATTTCATAGAACAATTCAAGAAGAGAAAATTGCTCTGAATTCAATCTCCTTTATGTTGTTCTTGGCAAATTCAAAAATCCATATATTTGATCCAAATTCTTCCTCTAAAAATATCTTATAATAATGCGTCATTTACCTCCTGTCTGCACCTCTTAATAGGTCCTAAAATATCAAAATATTAAGCTAACACAGCAGGACAAATCCCTTTTATGTTTGATAAGCATGGTTTAAATCATTATTAGCCATGGATCTGCTTACAGGGAAA